GGGCGGTGGCTATTGGTGATGAATAATTCATGAGGGGCGGGCCTGCCGCGGATGCAGTCTCCCAGACAACGCAGCTTCGGGGGCGTTGGCGGAGGCAGGGTTAGTCTCTCCAGCGAAACGCAGGGTGGGCCTCGGATTCCCCCGGGTCCCATCCCGGCCATGCCCCTGCCTCGGGTCCCCGGACTCCCGGGCCACATCCCAGCCACGCAGTCTCCGACGTCCCCTTCCCGGCTGACCTTAGGAAACGCTGCTCCTCGGGCGCCTCCTCCGGGTCCGGGCCCGCTGCGCCGCTCATGGCGGAGGTGAGCTGGTGCGCAGAGGGCCACCGCCGCCACGGCCTTTTAAGTGCATCCCTGGGCCGAGGGCGGCCCCCCCGCCCACTCTGCGTGCCCGCCAATCAGGAGGCACCGCGAAGGCGCTGCACGCAACCATTGGCCGGTGGGTGCAGGCGGACTTAACCCTTTCCTGCCAGGCGTGCAGCCGTTGCAGGGACGGAGGGAAGCCCAGAGTGGCGGATACTGGCAGAGAAATGAAGTCTGGTCCGGCAGCGATGGGCCGCTTACTCCTACCATGGGATCCTGGCCTGGGATCAAGGGGACTCCCCTCTACCACCCCCCCAAACCCGGGGCTCTCCTCTCCAGGGCGCCCAACCACCCCTGTGCCCCTAGCAGAGAGGCTCTGAGCCTGCAGAGGCAGGCTGCTCACAAGCAGGGTTTCAACAGAGAGGTAGGAAAGTCCAGGCATATCTGGCAGCAGAGGCTGATGGTGGATCCAAGGGCAGTTTTTGGGTGTGTTTTGAGGCTTTGCCAGCTGGCGTCTTCTGAGGAGTCCCCCAGGTCTAGTCCCTGTGTCCAGGCCGTGTATGACCCAGTAGCACCCTCCCCTGCCCCAGTCACTCACTCCCTGGGACACTGACAGGCGGGTCTCAAGAGTATTTATTCTTTCCCGGTGGGGAGGGGGCGGGGGTCCAGTGGTCCAAGGGGCGCAGATCCCTACGTGTACCATATGAAGCCGTAGGTGGCATTGAGAATCTCCTCATTCGTGCGTAGTCCATAGAGCTCGCCCATCATGGGGGTCACCCAGCGCGTTGTGTGGAACACAGACTCACCCACCTGTGGGGACAGCGGGGTATGGGTAGGGGTGCAGCTGTCCCCTCAGGCCCACATAGCCTGCTGACCACTGTGTCAAAAGCTGCTGCCTTCCCCTCCACACAGCTGGCACCACCACCTGCCTCAGCCCCAGGTTTCCTGTTACAGGCTGCATTTCTGCAGCTGCCTGGACTCCAGCCCTCTCCAGGACTTCAGGACCCACCTTCCAGTCGGGCACGTCCTTCATGATGATGGCTTCCTCCTCCAGGTTCTCCCGAAGCATCTGCAGGACCCTGGAGGGACAGAATGGGAGGTGGGGGACAGGCCTGAGCACCCTGAGGAGTCCCTGCCAGACCCCTCCATGCTCTATGCCCCCATTACCTCCTGCCAGTTTTAACTCTGTACACACTGACCCCTCTTCTCCTTTCCTTTCCTCCCCTCGGTAAACTCTTACTGTCTTCCTGCTCCAGCCCTAATGCCCTCTCCACCAGGAATCCTTCCTGTTCTCCCCCTTGGGTTTCTGCTATAAGTCATGTCTAGGGCCCTCTCTAAGGGTAACAGTAGCCCTGTATGTGTGACGAGGCTGCCAGTCCCCACATGAATTCTGGCCGTGTCCTGAGCTGCAGGCTGGGGCACTCAGGCCTATGGCTTCCCGACCCTGGCCCCCGTGGCCCCACCTCCGGTCCTTCTCTGCCTGCAACAACGGCATCAGTGCAATGCGGGCCTCGAAGTCCTCAATCTGCAGGCGCCTGTAAAAGCCCCAAAGCAACAACGAGATCAGACCAGGCTGGGATGACTGGTAAACAACGTGGCCCTCAAACACCCAGGGTGATGCATGGGGAAGGGGGTTGGGAGAGAGGCAAGTGAGTGGGGCAGGCCTAAGGCAGTGGGATCCGCCCCCCAGAAGCTCAAGATGAGGGTGAGCGTGGGGGGCACAGAGCTGGCACAGGCATCAGTCCAAAAGACTGTTGGTTTCACACTTTCTTTTCAATTAAAAAACTTTTCTAATCCTAAAAACAGCCTGGGCCTGATGATTGCGGTGAAACAGGGCGGGGGATGATGAAGAGACAACGTTGATTCACCAACACACATTCATCACGGGGCTCTGGGCCTTACAAAAACTCCCTCTACTGTCCCCTTCATCTCAAAATAACGGCTGGGTGGAGTCCATGTATCACAGGCGGCTCCTTTCTTCTCCCTACTTTTTCACGTCTTCCAAGCCACCAGCCACTCCTGGGCTGGGGGAAGTGGAGGGAGCGGCGTCCAGTGATGTGGCTCAGGGAGTGGCCTCTGGCTGTCTCCCCTCATCACCAGGAATCTCACACCGGGAAGGGTCTGGGTGAACTTCAGTCCCCACCCTCTCCCATCCCCCAGGACCCAGAGCAGCACCCGCGCTCCAGACTACTGCCTTCACCACAGCCGCACACTGCTGTCACCTACCATGTCCATCTCCTGTGGGCGGTGTGCCTCGGGAGGCTGGACCTGGTCTCTTCTGTCCAGTGCAGGGCCCTAGTGTCTGGTACCCACCAGGTACTCCTCAGTTCACTTAATAATGCCAAGCGCCCTCCACATGCTGTGCCTTCTCCAATACCGCCCTCAAGGGATTCCTGGTCCCGTGGGGGGTGAGTGAGCTCAGGGAGGATGCTAAGGACACATGCCACAGGATGGGACAGGGTCAAGGGGCCCAGCCTGTCAGGGGCCAATGAGAAGAAGCCTCCTGGCAGGGCATCCAGGCAAGCTGAGAGGAGGCCAGAGTCTAAATTGAGGTCACCACAGGCCCTGGTCCCTCAGGCCCCACGTGGCTGGCACGGCCATTGTCTTGCACGGCCTGTTTCTAAGCCCTTATTATCCTCACTGCCTGGTTACCACTGACAAAACCCTACTAAGAGAGCACGTACTGGGCCTGCCTCTCCACCTTCACCTCTATCCAATGGGCCATCCTAACCTGGACCCTCTGGTCCCCAGTAGTGGAGGCCGAGGGATGCCTGGTGGCAAGCTCCTCGCTTACTAGTCATTTCTTGAGGATAAAGCCCAGAGATGAACCTGCTGGGTCAGGGCTCGCACTCACTGAGGCCCAGGGGATTGACAAGGGGATCCCAACTACACCAAGTCCACAGGCGCACGTCCTGTCCAACCCTCAGTTGAGCCTACCTGCGTTCACGGTTCCACTTCATCATGCTCCAGTACCCGAAGAGCAAGGTCCCGATGCCCACAGCAAACATGCTGTAGCCTGTGGGGAGAAGGGGAGCGGGCTCAGTACCTGCACACAGGACAGGCCACCCCTCGTCATTTCTTCTCGTGAAGCACAATCCACTTGCTGTGCAAATACTCCAGAAATATGGGCGAGGGAGAAAGTGAAAGCCCCCACGATCCCTGCCCAGAGGTGGCCAGGACCAACTCTAGTGCGTATTTCTTCTATTTTTTGTCTTTGTGGAATGTCGATTAGCCCCCTCCCTCAGACAGCCCCCTCCCCCACAGCTGCAGACCACTCTATCGCGTTCACCAGCTCAGCACACAGGGGACACCAAGCTGCCTCAGCTTCTCTCTCACAGGTGAGGCTCCTATGGCTGCAACACCTCTGCCCCCAAGTTGGGGTTTCTGGAAGGTGCAGGCTATGGGGGGACCGCAGAAAAGCCTGAGGGTCTAGATGTTTATGTTGGGTGGCCCTGGCCCCATCATCTTCTAGAAGGCTGTTTGGTTCCCAGTCAACTGGCTGGTCCCCATGAGGAAGGACAGTATCCACACTGGGTCCCAACTCCATGGAGGTTCCCGGCTGCCTGGGTCACCTCCCTGCGTGCTGCTCACGGGGGGCTGGACAGGGCTGCCAGAGGCAGACAGTGCCCTGCAGGGGCCACCCAACCACCCTCTGGACTCCCAGGGTGCTGGTGCCTCCCCATCCAGCAGGGTCAAGCCCCTGCCCAGGACCCCAGGGGACAGAAGCTGCCATGAATATTTACTGAGCACCTGTGGGCACCTGCGTTCTAATCCTGACTGACAGGCTGTGGGCCTGCTGGGTCTTCTGGGAGGCCCAGACTGCCTGGGGCCTGGCTGGGCTTGGCTCGCTCTGCCCCGTCATCTTTCCAGCCTCTCAGTCTCTTCTCTGGACAGACCTCATGGTTGCTGGGACAAATTGACAAGCTCAGCCAGGTCGAGCTTCAGTTAACACCCAGTAAAGGACCAGGAAACGGTGGTTGAGGTCACTCCCTGAGCCTCGTTGGGGGACAGAGAGGGGCTCTCTCTTCTTTAGCTCACCTCCAGCACAAGGGTCATCCGGCACCTCTACTGGACTCAGAGATAAAGGAGAAACTGGCTCAATTTTTACCCCTTTAGTTTAACCTGTGAAAAACACCAGCTTCGGGTAAGACACTTCCACATAACAGGGGACAGGGTAGAGACAACACCCTGGTTCCTGTGCTGAGAGGCAGGACCTCTCCCGAGAGGCCGGAGTGCTTAGGACCAGCTCCCAGTCACCGATGGCTTGTTCACAGTGGGTGGCCGCCTGCATTGGGCACTCCATGTCCTCTCCACTGGGCAGGAGCATCTCATCAGAGCTGCCTCCATTCTTTTCAACAGCTGGAGAGAGGCCCAGGGGCCTCCTCTTCTCACTCAGCCCCAGGGGACAGACCTGGACGGTCCTTGTGAAGACCCCTTGCCCTTACACCAGACACCCACGTGTGGGCCCACCCGTAAGAGAAATTCCTTTACGATGATAGGGCTCTAACTTGTCTCTTCCTGAGAGGCTGAGACCCCAGGCCCTCAGGGAGGTCTGTGCCTCCAGAGCTACCAATATGGTGGAGGAGGCTGGTGAGGAGCATGCCCAGAAGGATATGTGGGCCACATATAAAGAAAACCTAAATAAATGGTAACGCATCCTGTGTTCATGGATCAGAACTTAACCTTGTTCAGACAGCAGCACTCCTCAAATTGAGGTACAGATTCAACGCAGTCCCCATCAGAATGCCAACCTTCCCCCAACATTCCCACAGAAATTGACAAGCAGATCATGAAATTCATATGGAAATGCAGAATAGCCAAAACAATTCTGAAAAAGTAGAACAAAGTTGGAGGACTCGCACTTCACAATTTCAAAATTTATCACGCAGCTGTGTGTACAAGACAGTGGGGGACTGGCAAAAGGATGGACATGTACATCAACAGAACAGAGCTGAGAGTCCAGAAATAAACCCTCACGTTTATGGTCAACTGATTTTGGACAAGGGTGCCAAGACAATTCAATGGGGAAAGAATAGTCTTTTCCACAAATTGGACAACTGGATAGCCACATGCAAAAGAATAAAGTGTACTACTTCCTTCCCCCCACATAAAAATGAACTCAAAATGGATCAAAGAGCTCGATGTAAGAGCTAAAACCATAAAACTCTTAGAAAACAGAAGAGTCAGTCTCTGTGACCTTAGATGAGACAATGGTTTCTTAGATATGACAGTGGAAGCACAAGTAACAAAAACAAGAATAGATGAACTGGACTCCATTGAAATTAAAAACTTTTGTGCTGACACCTTCTATAAGCTGAAAAGACAACCCACAGAATGGGAGCAAGTATTTGCAAAGCATGTATCTGATAAGGGAATGGTATCCAAAATATATAAAGAACTCTTAAAACTCAATAATAAAAAGATGATTAAAAACAACCTAATTAAAAAATGTGTAAAGGACCTGAAAAGACATTTCTCCAAGGAAGCTATACAAATGGCCAATAAACACCTGAAGAGATGCTCTCAACACCATGTCAGCAGGGAAATGCAAAGAAAAACCACAATGAGGTACCACAATGAGATACTTACTCACACCCACTAGGATGGCTAGTATCAAAAACATGGAAAATAATTAGTGCTGTCCAGATGTGGAGAATTGGAACTTCCACACATTGCAGGTGGAAACGTAAAACGGTACAACCAATTTGGAAAATAGTTTGGCAGTTCCTTAAGACATTAAATGCGGAGCTACCATATGACCCAGCAATTCCACTCCTAGGTAAAATTTCGCCCCGGAGAAATGAAACACATGTCCACACAAAAGCTTACACAGGAATGTTCACAGAAGCCAAAGGGTGAAAACAACTCAAATGTCCATCAAGTGGTAAATGAATAAACAAAATGTAATCCAGCCATACAAGAATATTATTCATTCATAAAAGGAATGAAGCACCAACACATGGTACAAAATGAACATTAAAATCATCATGCTAAGTCAAAGAAGCCAGACACAAAAGGACAGGTAGCAAGTCATTTCATTTATATGAAACGACCAGAAGAGGCAAATCCAGAGACAGAAAGCAGATGAGTGGTTGTCAGGGGGTGGGGGAGAGGAGAATGGGGAGTGACTACTAATGGGAATAGGTTTCTTTTTGGACTAATGAAAGTGTTGTAAATTTAGGATTATGGTGATCCTAAATCTGCACAACTGTGAATAGACTAAAAATCAGTGATTTGAACAAATGAAATAGGTGAATTGTATGGTATGGTACATGACTATCAATAAAAATGTTAAAGATATAAGGAAAAAAGAGTCACCTGCTGGGGCAGGGGGAGTGGACAGAGGAGAGCCGAGTGTGAGAGATGAGGGGAAAAGGCGGGGATAGCAGTCATTTGGAAGCAGTGTGGATTAAAGGTGGCCTGATGGCTTGCCAGGATGTTCCAGGACGCTGGTGGTGAGCGGTCCAGGCAGAGAAGGGGAGTGAGTACCAGGCTTGGGGCCACAGCACTTTGGACAGGAGCAGAAGAGGGAAAGACTGATGGGAGAGGGCCACTGTGGACCATGGCTCAGAAGCAAGGCTGGAGGAGGACCCAGGAGGACAGAAGCTGAGGGTGGGGTTCCAGATGGAGAACAGGGCTTTTATACTCGCTGTTCCCTAGGCCTGAGGGGCTCCTAAGAGATGTTCTTCTGGCCCACCCTGGCTAAAGCAGGCCCTGGTTATTCCGGGCCTTGTCGCAACGGGAAAATCTGGCAAGACGTTTGTCTCCTCAGCTAGGCTGTGAGCTTCTTGGGACAGCACCCAGTGCCACATGCACCCTCAAGCAGATACTGAATACAGGTACACAAACAAGACCCCACCACCAGAAGGGCTAGCTTCCTCAGCCCTCTGCAGCCAGCAGAGACTGGGGTGGCTTTATACATGCCACAAAGCAAGCTGGCATCAAGCGATGGGATGAGGAGACCAAAGCCCAGGCAGTGGTAGTTAGGGCACACAGGAGGCACTGCTGCATCATGAACTGAAAGAGGACCAAGATAAAGGGCACGTTTGTGACTTTAAAAAAAAGAGAGAGAGAGAGATGCTGACTGGAAGGAGCTCAGGGAGGTGGGAGGGCTGGGATCCTTCCGTAGCCTGGTCTGGACAGAGGTCACATGGGTGCACATGTATAAACAGACCTTGTGCCACACACCTGAGGGGTGCACTGGCCTGGGGGTGTAGTCATAGCTCGAGAAAAGAAATGAAGAGACTCAGATCATGTTATATTCCTTCAATCTGTTCTGGGATGAGCAGAGTGCCCCTGTGGTGCCAAATCTAGCCTGTAACTTTTTTTTGTAGGGCCCTCAGGCTAAGAACACTTTTAGGTTTGCAAACAGTTGTAAGAAAGCGGCAGCAGTGGACAGAGACCATCCGGCCTGCAAAGCCTACACTATTTATCTAGCCCTTTACAGAAAAAGTTCACCAACCTCTGTTCTAGGATACAAAAAAAGCCAAGAAGGGGTAGGGAAAGCTTTTAGTTTTCACTTGACATTAACTTTTCTACTAACTGAATTATTACTTTTTTTTTTTTTTTTTACCATGCCCATGAATTTTTTTGTTTTTCAACTGAGGCATGATGTGCATAACATTCCCAAGTTTAAATGTAAAGTTTCATGAGTTACAGCAAATGTGTTCACCCTTTACTGTTTTAAATTTTTTGTATTTCTCTGTTAACCTTGGGTGCAGACTATCGGTGCCTTCTATTTTCTCTCTTACATTTTTTTGTGTGCAACGCAATAACAAATTTTAAAATGTTACTTAAAACATTTGAAAAATTTAAGAATACGTATTCCCGGGACATCCTCCAGGTGGGGGCCACCAGCGAGGAACCACCGCACAGAACATCTTTTAAATTCCCTCAGTGTTCTGGGTTTCGGCCCCAGCTTTGCTCTGGGTGACCCTAAACGGAGGTCGCAGCCTCTCTCCAGCCTCAGTTTCCCCACCTGTGAAACGAAAGCGCGGAGGAGGGCTCCGGGTGCAAGCTACACTAATCTCAGTTTAATCAACTGTAAAATGGGAATGATTAATGGGATCGACCTCCTGGGCTGTCAGAGAAGAAAGCAATGAGTTTAGTAAGCGCTCGACATATTGCAGCAGTCGCTACTGTCACTAGTGAAGCTATCGGTGATCCCAGGGCTCCGCCTCCCGTCATACCGCAGGGGAAACTGAGGCCCGCGAGCCTCCCCGGCGCCCCGCCCCCGCCGCGGCACCCACAAGACCCAGACTCTGACACCCCGGCGCAGGGCGACACTGACCCGACAGTCCCCGACGCGGCAGGTTCCGCTTGTAGTCGATGGGGCCATAGCCCCCCGACGGCGGCATGTCCTGCTTCACCTTCGACGCCGCCATTCTCACAGGACCTTGCACTTCCGGTCGCGGGCGGACGTTACGCGACCGGCGGCCGCGGCCATGCTGAGTGTGGCGGAAGCAGCCGCGCAGGTCTCAGGCACGGCTGGGAAACCTAGGGCGCTGGTGCAGCGACCTCAGCGCGTAGTGAAACGCCGGTGGCCGGGCCTGGGGTTGACTGCGCGGCCGGGCTGCGGCTGAGGGGTCCTTATTTCTTCTTCTCCCAGGCGGGGCGTGGCTCAGTCGGTGTCTACGCCTGGAGCCCGCCCGGTCGCCCCGGTCCTTGCACTAAAGGACCTCCCGTTCACCTTCCCTCTGGGGCGATGTGCTGGCCAGTCAAAATCCCCAAGGTTCCGAGGGAGCCAGGTCACCAAGTTAAGCCCCCCTTCCTGTTTTCCTCCCCCTGGGGCCTCTGCGGGCAGCCCGGGGCTCCACATGGTAACGGTTGGGTACACCAAGTTAGGGGGCGGCTGCTGCTCAGATTCAGACTCACGAGGAGCTGCCCCAATGCTAGGCACGTATTCCGCTACTCGGTGGTGTTAGCGATCCCTTGCTAGTGGCCCCTCATTGGGAACTGGGCCATTCAGACCGATTATGAGTCACAAAGCCCGAGGGCCTTGCGGGGCCCCGCGGGGCGGGGTCCAGGCGGCCCCTACCCTGAGGCAGGGTGACGCCCGCGGTCACTTCACAAGGCAGAAATTGTTACCTGGGCAATAAAAGGCACCGCAGCGCGGAGGCCCGGGAGTGGGCACATGGGGGTGCAGGTGTGCAGGTGCCGAGCACCATGGGTTAGGCCCGAGAGTGGAGTCCGGCCGCCCCCCGACAGCAGCCGCCTCCTGCTCCCCGCGCACTCCAGGCGCCACCATGTCGGGCGACAAACTTCTGAGCGAACTCGGCTATAAGCTGGGCCGCACGATAGGCGAGGGCAGTTACTCCAAGGTGAAGGTGGCCACGTCCAAGAAGTACAAGGGCACGGTGGCCATCAAGGTGGTGGACCGGCGCCGCGCGCCGCCGGACTTCGTCAACAAGTTCCTGCCGCGAGAGCTGTCCATACTTCGGGGAGTGCGGCACCCGCACATCGTGCACGTCTTTGAGTTCATCGAGGTGTGCAACGGGAAGCTGTACATCGTGATGGAGGCAGCCGCCACCGACCTGCTGCAGGCCGTTCAGCGAAACGGGCGCATCCCCGGGGGGCAGGCGCGAGACCTCTTCGCACAGATCGCCGGAGCCGTGCGCTACCTGCACGACAACCACCTGGTCCACCGCGACCTCAAGTGCGAAAACGTGCTGCTGAGCCCGGACGAGCGCCGCGTCAAGCTCACCGACTTCGGCTTCGGCCGCCAGGCACACGGCTATCCCGACCTGAGCACCACCTACTGCGGCTCTGCCGCCTACGCCTCGCCCGAGGTACTCCTGGGCATCCCCTACGACCCCAAGAAGTATGACGTATGGAGCCTGGGCGTCGTGCTCTACGTCATGGTCACCGGGTGCATGCCCTTCGACGACTCGGACATCGCTGGCCTCCCGCGGCGCCAGAAGCGCGGCGTTCTCTACCCCGACGGCCTCGAGCTGTCCGAGCGCTGCAAGGCCCTGATCGCCGAATTGCTGCAGTTCAGCCCGTCGGCGAGGCCCTCGGCGGGTCAGGTAGCACGCAACGGCTGGCTGCGCGCCGGGAACTCTGGCTAGAAGCTGGGGTTCTCGCCATTCCCGCCGTCCCGAGCACTGCGCAAGCGCAGCGCACACGCGAGAGGCGAGCTTCGCGGGTCCTGCGAAGCCGCCGCGCACCACTGCGCACGCGCCCTTCCCCTTCCCCTTCTCCCTCGACGGCGGGGACCCGCAGTCGTCCCTGTTTGGAATCTGGTTCCTCCTCCACGATCCCGAGAGTAGGAGGGTGCATGTTCTTCCTTGATTCTTCGTGAAAAGGCCCTGGGAGGGGGCGGCACGAGAGGAGACGGAAGCATTGCGCCTGCGCGGAATGAGCGACGGCTGCACAGCCGGCGGTGACTTCCCCAACCAGCCACGCACGTCGGTGGGGACAGCACCCCCAAGACGCCTCCTTGGAACTTGCAATAAACTCGCTCTTCCTCGCACCTGCCTCTAGCGATGGCCTCCTTTTACAGATCAGAAGGGAGGGAGGGTCGCTTTCCTTGAGGAGGACAGGCGCAGGCACCCCATTTTAGAGAAAGGCTGGTTGAGGTTCCTGCTCTAGGTCTCAAAAGGGAGTTGAGAAGATTCAAACTTGGACCTTTTGGACTCCCCGGCCTGGGCAGACTCGAAGGGTCTTTGGGGTCGTGATGGTCCTGGCATCAAGTCTAATAGCAGTATTGATCTTCACATAGATAATTACTGCTGCTAGTCACTAATTTAATGCCAGGATATTGTAACACCTCTCATTAATTCATGGGCCCAAAGACATTTTGATTCATACCTCTAGTCTTCCCACATAAATACACTGTGAAAAAAGCTGTGTGAATTTGAAATGTAAATTAGCGGGCGATGGAGATGCTGGGCTGGGGAGCAAGGACCCCAGCACCCTTCCTGTGTTTAAGAATGGAATGGCGGGGGGTGGGGACCATCTGTCTCAACATAAACTGAACATTTACGGATGAGGGAATTGAGACCCACAGAGATGTCACTTGCCCAAGAACACGGCTGGGCTTTGAACTCAGATGTGGCTGAAGTAGGGTGGGGAGGTGGTGGGAGCTTTTTTTGGTGAGGTCAGAGTCTTGGGGGAGAGTCAAGGGTGGAGCATGGGTTAGCTGGGCAAGCTGGTTCATTCAGTCCTCTGTTCACTCGTGCATTTATGGAGCGCCTGGTATGTGCCAGGCTCTGGGACTCAGCAAAGAAGCTTGGATCCATCCCTGCCCTCTGCGAGGAGGCAAGTGAAAAGTCAAGTAAAATAAAAGAATGGCCTAGAAATAAAATAATTGTAAGTTGTACTAAATGCCAGGTGGGGGGTAACCAAGGAGGGACTGAAGCAGCGACATTTGAGCTGAGCCCTAAAAGAATTAGACACTGGAAACAGCAGAAGCACTGTTCCCAAGACTGAATGGAGCTCCTGTGGCTGAAATGGAGAGGGAGGGAGAGGAGTTGAAGAGGTAAATATATATGTCCTGGAGAGGGCACTCCCACAGCGTCTGGGGGAGACTGGGGGTTATTTTGCTTGCATTGAGGTTACTGGGTTTAGTGACAGTGGATGTCTGTCGTTTGGGGTGCATGGGAAACGTCTCCCTAAGTCCTAATCCTACCTGCCTCCATCTAAGCCCCACACTGTCCCTGAAGGAGCTGCCCACTGTGGGTCTGACCATATCCCACCCCTGCTCTCTCACCCTCCATGGCTTTCAGGTGCCCTCGGAATTAAGTGCCAGCTCTCCCCTCACTTCCTTCTAACAGGCTGTGGCCCCAACCCCCTCATTTTGCAGATGAGAAAACAAGCTAAGAGAGGGGAAGTGCCTTGTCTCCAGTTCTGACTGATTCACCTCAAGGCTGAGAGAGAAAACCCAACTCCTCTGGTTTACATTAGAAGGGTGTCTCTACTGACCTGGGCCACACCTCAGGCTCCCCACTTGGAAAATGGGGGCAGGAACCCATTCTAGGGGTTGCTGGGAAGGGACATGGCTCACTGGAGGCCTGGGCCCTGAACTTTCTCAAGGTTCCCACTGCACTCAGAATAAAACCCACATCCTTGCCCCTTTCTCCCACCATCCAGCCAGTCCTCCTTGTCCTTGACCTGCCACACTTGGTCTCACCTCCAAGCCTTTGTACTGTCTGTTCCTACTCCTTGAACCATTTTTCCCCTCTCTTCATTCAAGACTTGGCCTAAAGTTCACCTCCTCCCTGACATCTCGTTTTTCCCTCCTTGCCCTTGTCGTAAGGTGCGGTCTCAATACCTAGGGGTGGCATGTGCCTTTTTCTGTCCACTGATGAATCTGTGAGCAATGAGGCCCGGGTCTCCTCCTGCCCTGTGACCACAGACTCATGGCTCAGTTTAGAGGGGACAAGGTCTCAAGGACCAGGGCGAGTGTCCCATTTGCTAGCTGGAGAAGTTGCCTGAGACTCACCCCTGGTCCACTGAGGAGCCTGTGCCTGATCCAGCGAATACTCACCTGAGGGCTGAGTGCGGGAGCCCTTGAGAAAGCACCCTATAAGTGCACTTCTCACAGCCAGTGTTGGGGTGTGGGGCACCAGTCAGAATATGTCATGGGTGGAGTGGGGCAGGCTTGGGTTTAATTTGTCATGGGTTCTACCAGCTCTGTGCCTTGCCCACGTGAGACCGAGGTGACTGTGGCGTTGGGGAGGGCTGTCAGCCCCCAGCCTTGAGGCAGGGATGCCCCAACAACAAAAACATGAAACAGCAAAAAAATAAAAGCGCCTAGGAAAACAGGATCATATTTTGTGCACAATGGAATTCAGCAGAATGATCACAGGTCTCACTTTGTGAATGAAACTTGAAACACTATGTCAACAAATTTTCTGAAGAAAACGAATTTTCACTAAGAATTGTTCATTTTAGAGCCAGCTGATGGCTCCTGGCTCTGTCTGTGCTTAGGATCCACATCTGTAACATCACATGCTGCAGCAAAGACACCCAACGTGGTGCCAAGCCTGCAAAGCACTCCCAGAAAACCTGCCACACCAGGGTAGAGACTGATGGGGGCTAGTAGCCAGCCCAACGAGCAAAACCCACTTGATTCTCATCCCAGTCCTCCAGCTCCACGGGTAAGCAGGCCACAAAGCCCCAGGTTCTGGAGGAGATGGAGGCCTGGAGGTGAGGCCATGGTGCCCAATTGGGGAGGACTCATCCCTGCAGGAAGTGAAATCTGAAAGAAGCCTAAGCAGCAGGTGTCTCATCCTTTGCTTCCCTGTTAACAAAGGGTCACCCTACTGCACCATCCCAAGTCTCCAAGCTGCCCAAGGTTGGGATGAAATAAGGCAGGGAACCCACGGCCAAGGGGATGAAAGAAAAATACAGCCGACACATCGTCCATTTCTTTATTGTCCTTCAGACTCTAAAACTTCCTCATGACACAATGTATAGCCATTGATTCCAGCCTCTTTGTTTATTGGAACTTTTATTCCGGTTTGGTGGCCATTTTTTTCTTTTTTACATTTATTATCAAAGAATGAGAGTCACAATAAATACAAGTGACAACAACCACCCCCCCCCCCCAACAAACCACCTCCCAAATACCCTGCACTAGTGTAACTATTACACTTTCTTTGTTAAGGATTATAAAACTTTAGCTGTCCTTTTAAAAAAATCTCAGTCCAAGTTCTTTAGGCAAATGTCATGTGCAGCATAATTCAGCATCAAAGAAAAACCCTATGGCAGAGCAGCAATGACTGTCTTTTCCATTATTTACACCCCTGTGATGAGAATATATTATTTATATAGAAAACTACGCCCTGTGTCTGTCTACAGGAGTGAGGTGTGGGACACAAGGAGCCACAAGAAACAGCAGGACTGTACTCAGTAGCCTCTTTCATTCCCTCTGCACTGGGGTGAGCTTTTGCTTCACAAAGGTGTTCGGATACAGACAGGACCAGAGGCCACCCCTGGGAGAAGGGCCACTCTTGACCTTGTTAAAGGTGCAAGTTCAGTTGTCACAGATGGGACACTGGGGACCGGAGTCCCCCTGACGTGGTCAGGATGGCCAGAGCCATGGGTGGCTCCAAGTGACACGTGTATCTGTGTGAGCATATGCATGTGTACCTGTGGGTCCACACACACATGGCCATCAAGGTGGGGAGGAATGAGCTGGGAATCCCCCCACCACAATTTACAGAGCAGCTGACATTTTGAAGTTTCCAGTTGTCGTCAGGGGTTTGTGTCACAGATAACTCAGGACCATTACAATCTTTATTTGGGACTGGCGACTCCCACATTCTCACTGCTCCTGGGAACCAGGTCCTCTCACCCCCGAGGATCCCAGGGTGAGCCCACGACTCCAGCACCTTGGTCAATTTTGAGGAGTGAGCTTTGCTGCTGGGAGGACACCATTAATGTCAATATCCTTTCCTAGTATGTCCAAACTCCACACCCAGAGGTATTTAAGAATGCCTTTTCCTGTAACACCATAAATTTCATCACACGACCACCCCTCTGGGGCTTATCACAGAAGTTACACTGCAAAGGGGGAAACTAAAGAAAAAAAGGGGACAGGAGTTTTGAGACAGTAGAAATGAACTAAAGATTAAGGCATCTCACGTTCTCGCCCCCCTCTAAAAACTATGTTTACATCACAGTTAAGTCGCCCCTGATGGGACTGTTCCCAGGGATGCTGGGCTGGAGGAGGCAGGGCCAGGGCCTGGCCATCCCATCCTCTGACAGTGGCAGTCAGGTTTGCACTGAATTCACAAGGCCTATTCAACAGCCCGAGGCCCAAAGTACAGCCAGGCAAGGCGAGGAGAGGTGGTTCCTGAGCACAGTGACGAGTGAGATTCTGATGGGGCCAGGGTTGGGGGCCAATGTACGCAGGTTGGCTCAGGGCCCTTGAGTCACAGACCCCCTTAACCCCAGCTGTGGCACATCCCTCCAGTGCAGAGGTGACCTTGCCCCAGATGCCTGATCCCAAGTTACTGCATAGAACTGACGTGTTTGCCAGAAGAGGCTGGCCTGGATGCTCCTTCTTGGAGGATTTGGAAAATCTGGCCCATGTTACTGAACAGAGAAGGCTAACAGCTCAGGGTAGTATGAGACAGGTATTTATTTGCCAGGCACACAGAAAAATGCAAGGAGTAGAAATCTTGCATACTCTTAATTTTTTGGTGTAAAAACACACCCTTGCCCCCTCCTGCTCCTGAATGTCAATTTCCCCCCTTTCCCCAAAATCCCTGGATCTTGGAATGGAAGTGACCTTTCCCCGCCCTCCCCTCCTTCAGCCCATCTAAGTTATGCACTCAAAACAAAAATCTATGAGAAATTTGGGGCTTCACACAACAAAAAATTAGAACATTTTGCAAAACTAGGTCTTCTACCGCGTGTCAAAAATGTTTTCTAAACACTGATATTCACACACCATGAGAGAAGGGGTTAAATGAGCCTTTATTAGAATGTTGTAGCAGTGTGTTTGAAGAAGGCAGCCCTACAAAATAAAGATTTTAAATTAAGTCCCTAACTGCATGAATAGGAAAACCAGGGCTGGGGCTGAAGTGGGGAGCAGCGTACCCCATCTCCACACACATGTGCGTACACATGGGACACCCTTGCACCTGCGTGGAGCCAGCCTGTGCACAGCACACACACAACAGCTTCTGCCTTTCCTCATGGAACCGATTTCTAAGGAGTGGGAAAAACCAAAACAAAACAAAACTGAGAGCAGACCTGATCCTTTGTAAGACATTTCTGTAGACTCTAAAGAGGATAAAAAAAAGTCTGAAAGCAATCCCTGGCAGCATGGCCCTGCTTTAAAGGAAGGTTCTAAACTAGACCCAATGGAAACCCTGAAGTCGGGGGTGGGGGAGGTGGTGGTGGTGGTGCTTTCCCACGCCAACACACCTGACAGGAGCACAGGCCAGGGCAGCTTAGGATGTTGTCCATCAAAATAAGTAGGAAAAGAAAAGGAAAACATTTAATAAAATAAACCACAACAATAATAACAAAAACACAACAGCCTGCCCCTCCAATTTCCCGCTCAGGCTCTGGACGTTGCTGCCGATTCTCTCCTGCCTCCTCATTCAGCAACATGGGGCTCCCAAGCTCCCAGGCTGGGTCTGGGTTGCGGTTTGTTCTTCTACGAAGTGTGGGAGGTCAGGGGTCTCTGGGACGAGCAGCAGCAAAGGCCTTCTGATGGAGCGAGGGTTGATCAGCGGCCCACTCACCGGGCAGGGGGGCCGTGCTCGGCAGGGACCCTTGGGTCTGCAAGGTTTACTTTAAACTCCATCATCATGAGGTGATTTAAAAAAAAATCTGTTAACCTAGAGATTGCCGTAAAGGAAGGCAGTCGAAGACTGGGAGGCTAAGATGGGGAAAAGCAAAAACAAAACAACGGTCCGCTCGACTTCAGAAGCCCAGGGCGCCAGTCTTGCCCAAGCATGTCACAGTGTCCAGGGTGAGCCGTACATGCACCCTGTTGGGGGCAAGGGGAGGGCCGGGAACAGAACCAGCCCCCGAGGTCTGCTTTTCTGCTGGTGTTGGGCAAACTAAAGGCAAAGAAAGGAGGAAAGCCCATGGGAAAGGTCCCCCAGTGATAATCCTCATCCACCTGTAAAGTGGGCCCCCAGCCGCGATGAGACTTTGCAGCCAAAAATGGAGCTCTCCCTTCTGCAGCGCGGCTGGTGCTTGCTCGCTCTCTTGGGGAGCACGGTGTCTTCCCAAATGGAGGGTAGCAGGGCCAGGTGGGAGGGAGAAGGGAGCCTGTTCTCCAGTGGGCCCGGCTCGCACTATTTCCATGTGGCCGACTGGGGGATAGAGCGTGGCGGGATCATGTCCAGGAGGTACTCCCGTTGGCGGTCCACGGCGGAGGAGGTCTTGTGCACTGCCAAGCTCGGGCTGACAAACGTGAGGGGCCCGCCTGCAACAGAACAGAGTGACAAGCCAAGATGGCCCCAGTTGTGAAAGCTCCCAGGAGGAGCCCAGCCTCAGCTGAGCCAACTAAGCACAGGCGGGGTAAATCTTAGGCCTCAGAGCTGAAGAGAACGTAAGACATAGTCCAACCGCCTTCCCAACATCCCCAGCCTCTGCCACAGTAACCCCAATGATCACATTCTGTCAGCTACCCAAGCGCTACATTGTAAAGTGAGGTGTTTACCACAGTGCTGTTGAGCACAGTGAAAAACCACAAATGACAGAACTGTGCAACTGGGCAAGCCAGTATGACGAAATATTATGCAGCCATGAAAAACAGTTCTGTCCTCAAAGAGTTTTTAATGATACTGTAACGTTCTCTTATGAAAATGTTAAGAGGGACATGGAATGGCAGATACAGCATGAGCCCTCAATAAGGCACACATTTACACATGGGACACTCAAGTGAAGAGGCAGATTGGGGACAAGCCTCTGAGTACAGCATTGGTTCTCCTGTGGTGGAAAGTACCATTATCTTCTCCTTGCAGCTTTCTTCTCTCTTTGCATTCTCCAAATTTCCACAATGAACAAGTGTCACTTTTATAATTGGAAAATGAAGAAATGACTGCCACACACACCAGCACACACAGATTTTTGGCTGGCCAGGAGGAGGGACTGCCCCAGACCCCCAGCTGTAGCAGGGCCCTCCAGAGTCACTGTTACTGCAAAATTATTTTTGGTGGAGGTTAATACATCCTGTGGAACAGGTATTCCGAGGTCAAATGCAGTAGGGAACCCTCCCTGTGTGTTGAAGGCTGGCACTCCAGAAACCTGTCATTTCCCTCAAACCACCACCCAGAAACCCAAGGTGACCAGGAGTGCTGGCAGAACTCTTCTGGAAAATGCTGCTTTTAAGCTATGACACTTTTACCTCTAATCCTACTGCTGAACACAGCAACTATTTATTCCTTCATATTCCCTTCCAAACATTACCTTTACACACACACATACACACAGTTTTTGCATTGGTGCCATCACTGCATACACAGACGCACACTTGTATTTGACTTTTCCCACTGATTTCATATACTTTCAAGTTTCCCATGAGAGGAATTTCCAACCGGCCTATGCGTGCTTAGGTGTATCTTAACATGCTGAGCAAAAGTATCTCTGCCTGGTTTATGATTACAAATGCTCTCCGCTCTCCAGGCTGTGTGGATTCTTCTGAGTTGAATGAACGTCCTCTCTCTCCTGAGCTCACTCTCTCGGGGCAGGCTCTGATACTTGGGCATGTTTCTAACTCATGGTCAGCTGCATGCACAGCAGGCTCCCGTGTTTTGTTTGCATAGGTAGCAAGGCTTTCCCAGTTCTGACTAGGGAGACGGATCTTATGATGATGACTCTTCTTCCTACAGGGATGCAGCAACCACAGGGGGAGACTTGCTCCCACAATAAGAGCACTCGCTTGTCTCCTCTCAGCTCTTTTGTGCCTACCCTTCACTTTCCCGTTTTTGATCCCCATCCCTGTCCCAGGGTCCCCCTCCTCATCCCTGCATTCTTGTTCTCTTTTGTACTTCGCACCACCTGACCTGTCCAAGCCAGAGGGTGGGAAGAGAGTGTCTCACAGAGCAGGGAATGAAGGACACTGTCCGGGTGAGCAAGAAATGAAATTAGTGTATGACGAAAGGTACAACATAACAGCAAACAAAGGTATTTCCAACAGCAGGAAAGGACAGGGGGAGCATAAGTTGGCAAGATGAGCATCTGTGCTGACAGGAGTCCAATAGATGGTTGGGGGGATGCTGCCTGAACTGGGTTTGCCCCATGTTTTGGGTTGAGGCCTGAGATTTTTGGTACAGAACGTGCACATAATGAAGGCAATTACTACCTACCCAGGGCTACCACTTGTTCAGGGTGTCCTAGTTAGTGAACAGAAGAGAGTGCGCTGAAGAGTCAGAGGAGCGACCCTCAGAGAGCAGACCTGGGGGTTCAGGGCCCTTGGTGCTGCTTCCCTTCACCCTGTGCATGTGCACGTCTTTGTTAAAAATAAGGAAGGGATAGACCCAAGCATGGCAAGGTCCCTACTTTGAGCCCCATGGGGGTTGCCCACCTGTATTCAGAGATGCCTTCTTCCAGTTGGAGGTGGCGTTGCCCTTGCTGGCACTCACGGCTCTCTCGGAATGTCTGCTGGTCCTGCTGACGAGGGCTGTGGCCGAGGCTGCATTCTGCAGTTTGGGCGACTGGCTGAACGTGTGCAGGACACCTCGGGGCGTGGTGGCTGAACCCCGGGATAGCTGGCTGGAGGCCTAGAGCAGAGAGAGGGTGCAGCGGCTCACATGGGGAAGGGGGCAGCAGAGGGTGAGACGCTCAGCGCAGCCTCTCCTTGCTCTGGCTGACCTCTTCCCACCCACACAGGGTCCCTAAAGTCCAAAATCAGGAGACCAGGTAAGTTACACCAAAGGGGGAGGAGGAGGGGAGGGAGAGAGACAGACAGACGCAGGCAGAATGACAGTCGGCGACTGATGTAGTCACAGTCTGGGACGTGAGGGCTGGTTGGTGGCCTGGTGCAGGGAACTCCCGGCACTGCAGTTCTGACCTGTAGCACAGCCCCGTTACTCCAGTCGCGGGCCTCTCCTGAGCGGAACGCCAACTTACGCCGGGGTTTTATGACCTACACAAATGGGGGTTGAAATCGAGGTCAGCACCGTCCACAGGCCAGCCTAGGGTGACCTAAAGTGACCAAAGGGCAGCAGCTGTGGCCGCACGTGGCCCAGTCCCCATGGGACCAGCCGTTTCCTGAGGGCCGCAGAGCCACCCACTACATAGGGATCTTGAGAAGATGTGTTTATTAGTGAACTACAAATGATTTCCAAGGACACAAAAAATTGCCAACGGGGAGCTTTGGGTCTATAGGGGGTGGGAAAGCAAAGCATTAAAAAAAGCAGCCAAAAACAACTTGATTTCAAACTTGCTTCTCTCCTTAATTTAGCTAGAACAGTTCTTCTAAACGCCCCTTTTGTATCTCACTGTGGCTTTCAGAAAAGTCCTTTAAGACAAGAAGTACTTGCCAGTCGGCACACTGTGAGTGAAAGCTACAAAATCTAAACAAACTGCAAATTAGTATTTTCACCGCCAAATGCCACCATTAAATGTAATTTAGACGCACAGTTAACCACCAGGCAGATGATCAACGAGTGTGGGACAGAAGGTCAGAACATCTTGACTGCTAGTGACAACTCCCTGCCAAGGGAACGAGGCCCCTCTCCCAGAAGGTGAGGCCACCCAGCCCACGTTCCCAGGCTGCAGGGCCACAGCTCTGGCCCTTGGACAAGGACTATCACCTGCTTCAGCGTAGGGTGCGGGGCGGCGGCAGGTTCAGCCTTGGCCTGTGTCGGGGCAGTGCCCTGCTGCAGGAGGCGCTGCTCGATCTCCTGCTCCTGCTGCAGTGCCTTCACAAAGGCGGCCTTCAGCCGGCTCGTATGCTCCACTTTAAGAGCCTTCTTCTGGTTGGACGCCATGCAGTTCTCACACATTATGGCACCGCTCTTCTCCTCCCGCCAGCGGCACGTGAAGTCTGTCTTGCACTGCGCACACATGTAGGGCTCTCGGGACAGCACAACAGCAGCCGACATCCTGCCCGCTGCAGGGAGAGATGGGTGAGCTCATGTCAGAGGAACAGGATGCCCGAGCCAGAGCCTCTATCACCTCTGGGCAGGACAGGGATTCGAGACACAGCAGGAGCGTGGCTCAGCCAGCATCAAGAAACCAAAGCCCCAGTCGATGTTGGCTGTTTGTTCAGCAAACATATATTGGGCGCCGACTGTGTGCGGACACTAGGCCAGCCTCAGGGAAAGTTTGCAGGTAGAAGCAAAGCTGAAGGGCTTTGGAAAACGCCAATGGGTTAGGGTCCTGGGTACTAACTCTCAAAGACATTAGTGCAGACTGGCTTCTCCTGATCACCTTTCCCACCTGCAGCACAGTATTAGATCTCACAGGCAAACGTTTCTAACCCTCCCACACCTCGTCACCAGTGGAGAGGAGTCAGTGACCACTCCAGGCCCCCACCTCGCTGGGATGGGCACCCTGGCTAGTGGGCGATTTAATTAAGGACTGATCATCCAGTGAGTGTTCATATCGACAAGCACCGTGCCCAATGCCTTCTAGGTATCGAGGTATCTGAATCTTACAACAACCTCCTGAGGGGGTATCCCCAACCCCATTGTCCTGAGGAGGAAACTGAGGCCAGGGAGATGAAATGATTTGTGGAGTCACATGGCCAGTCAGTGGCAGGGAGGGTCAGGACTCACAGCTGCTGCCTGGCTGAGGGGACATGGCTGCTCTGGGGCCTCGGTGCCCTTGTCTGGGAGATGAGAACACGGTGTCTCCTCAGTCAGCCAGAGGAGGGGTGACTGAGGAAACCATAGAAAGTGCCTACTCAGGCATGGGGTCAATATTTGTCTTTATTCTTCAGCTTACATATTTTTGCCATTCAATCTTCAGTAAGAGGTGTTTTTCACATTTTGTTCTTATCTTTTCTGTGTCCAGCACTCAGGGACTTAACTGCCTCTTCAGCATTACAGACCATGGTGCTAAGAGACCCTGGCCTTTACCCCCTCCCCACCAGCCCTGGGCCTACCTGAGCTGCCCTTGAACAGTGAAGGGCTGTGCAGGATCCAACTCTGGGTGGACCTGTCACCCCCCAGAGCAGATGGGATGTCACTTTTCCAAGCCGCCTGCTGCCCAGGGTCTACCTCAGGCCCCCAGCTCTGGGTCCCCACCGGTAGCTAACATGCTCTGGTAACAAGAGCACACCTCCTTCCACACATCCAACCCTGGAGGAAGTAGTACCTGCTTCCTAGGCAGCTGTGGCCTGTGTGACCAGTGTCAGAGCCAAGACATAGGTGTGAGGCTACACTTGGCACCCAGCCTGGGGCTCTGGGAGGTGTCAGAAGATGCCTGAAGCAGGGCTCAGAGACTCCTCCCACAATTAGGTCCTGTTTTTGGCAACAGGAGAGGGTGACTAACCCCAGCCCGTCTCTGCTGGTAAGAGAAACAGCAGAAACAGGCTAGTCTTAGAGAGCAGAACGCCCCGTGCAGGCAGGTGCATGACAGGTGAGCATTTCGTCCTGTCTCAGGCCTCCCCAACCCTTCTTCCTATACTGCCCGCCTTGCAGCAGCTCTTGTGCCAACTTCACTTCACCATCAAGGAGACACCAAAGGGATCCAGGTACATCCAGGCTGTGTCAGAGATTGCACCACTCCCACCTGGGCCTGGCTCTGGCGCCCAGTGGTCCCTTGAGGCAGCCTAACAGGTGGAGCCCACCGGGCCCTCCCCTGCACCGGAGTGGTTATGGCTTGGCCTCCTCCAACTTTGAGCATCTGATGAGGTGACGTGGGGGGAGGATTCAGGCTGACTGCCCAATTAATGTTACCACCAGCTCAATCTCAGGGCAGAAACCCCCTAAGGGCCAACTCAGCCTCTCACCTCTGTTTCCAATATTGTTTTTAATCACTACCCTGTATATGCCCTTTTATTCCTAAAATCTCCTAACACACTGGTACACTTTCCAAACTGTTCCTAAGGAGGGTGATAAAACGAGTCTAGCCCAGGCATGGATGTCCTTCTTCCACCATGGGGGCTCAGGGCACTCAATGCTCTGGAAAGTTCTCACCCAAGAGCCCTATCTAGAAGCAAAGCCTGTCAGCCTCCCGCACACTTTCTTCCTCACCCTCCCCTGCTCACCCCCATGGCACAGTAATGTCACAAGGCTACTGCTGCTTGTGACCTTGGACCACACATGTGGAGCCTTGAATGTCAGTGGGGCCCAGCTCTCAGAGGAGTCCCCAACAGGAGAAGGAAGGTACCTGTGATGTGTTTAAGGAGTTATCCAAACCTCACAGCAAATAAGTACTGATAATGTAATGTTGCCCATAAGATGCTCTCCCCAAGACAACTCTGGGTACACCACTGGTGCACCAACATGTGCTGTGCATTGAAAAAAACTTAGGTAACAGAAACTTAAGTGTAAGAGAGGAAAATAGGCCCAGGGCCTGCTCACCTTGTGTTTCCAGCAGGTTCTGCACCACCTCCTCCAGGCCAACCAGATAGATGAATTCGTTGTTGGCAGCGCTGGGCAGGAAGTTCATCTCTGGGGCAGGTGGCTTGGGAGGGGGGATTTCGAGCAGCGTCTTCTCCAGCTGTTTGCGCAGCGCAAGCTTGGCGGCTGCCTGCCGACTGGCTGGAGAATCAGCAGAGGTGACTACAGAAGCCACGCTAGTCGGGGTGGAGTTGGCCTGAGCAGAGGTGGCCGTCGTCCCTTTCAGTGATGCTGGGGAGGGCTTTCAGGAGACAACAATCTGGTCAGTATGCTAGGGTGCATGCCCTGAGGCAGGCTCCACTGCTACACCTATAGCCCAGGATGGCACCATTAGCTGCACTGACTAACGAGTCCTTAAGAGAGCAGCTCCAAGCTGCTTGACATCAGTGAGCAGCAGGCAGAGCTGCATTAAACTCATTGCCCTATGAGATAACCAATCCTGTAAACATGCTCGTTGAGGTTTAGCTGATATTCAATAAACTTCACACATTTAAAATCTGCAATTTGCTATCTCTTGCCACCTGAGGACACTCATGAAGTCATCACCATGACCAAGACAGTGGGCCCCGCACCCAGGCAGCATGGCCACTGTCCTATCACTATGGCCTCACCCTCCTCCCAACACACATCTGGGCACCCTCTTTCCTCACAGGGTGCAAATGGTGGCTCACTGTGGCATCGATGACATTTCTCTCATGAGCATCTTTGCGTGTGCTTGTCTGGAGATGCTAATGTCTTAAGTCAGTTCACATGTCGTCATCAGAGCTAGGGGGAGAGCGGCTCCTGGACCAACCCCCGTCCCTTCACTCCTCTCGATCTTTACTGCTCCTGGCCTACTTTATCATCTTTGTCTGGACCCTAGTGGCTGACTCTCCATTGTCTCCTTGCTCCAGTCTACCCATTCCCTCACCCTGTGAAGTGCTCTCCCCAAACTTCAGAGCTGACCATGCCAGTGCCCTTAGCTTTGTGGGATTGAGGACCCTTCTGGAAATTGGAGGAAAGTAGCATACACCATCCCCAGGAAAATGCACACACCTGATAACTTGCATGTAACACATCACAGGGCTCAGGGAGCCCAGGTCACTTTCACAGGACCCCCACCCCCCACAAAGGATCTCCAGAGCCAAGCAAGACTCCTCAATGCAGAGGATGCCATCTCAACACCCTGGCCTGGCCACCCCCCTCTGACTAGCCAGTTCTTTCCTGTTCCCCTGAAGAGCATCCTCAGCCCCGCTGGGAACAGAGCCACACACTCCACCACTGCCTTCCCTTTTCCTATCCTTATAGCATGCCGAGCCAAGAACAGGGTCTGGCACACAGTAGAAATTTGATCAACATTTACAGAGTAGATGAAACTGCCTGCACAGGTCAGTCTTTTGCTCTGCCTAGGACATCCTCATGTGGGTGGCAGACTTTAACTCAACTTTAGAGGAGGCAGGGACACTGCCCAGAGCCCTGCTGGCCAGGCTGTTATCTGAGGAAGGCAGGCAAGAACGCACCATGCCAAAAGAGCAAGGAAGGATAACTCGCAGTCAGCAAAAACCCCTGCAGACCCAGTAATTTTATCTGTCAATGAGGCTCTTGCTTCCAGCTCTGGTACCCATCTTCCCAGCTCTGCTGGGCGGGGACAGACCCTCCCCATCTCAAAGATTCTGTACAGAGGTGAAGGGGACACATGGTTAAGAATAGAAGCACAGTGTTGCAAAGACATTTGCAGACGTGTTCTCCATACGTGCTCTTGCTGAGGGGAGTAAAGGGGCTCTAGACACCTCACCTGGCCTCATCTCTACTCACAAACCTGCTGTGTCCCACATACTGCCTCTCCCTACCCCTCATCCTCCTCACAGCTCAGCTCAGGACTGCACCCCTCACCCTCTCAGCAGCCATCCACCTCTGCTAGACAGCAGTTATGAACACAGGACTCCTGCCCGTGACTTTCACACCCCAACAGGCCCAGAGGAGCTCAAGTCCAAACCCCAAGGAATATCCAAGGCATCACTCAGCTCTGAGGGAGCAGGCAGGTCATGCTGCACCTGGAAATCTGACTTTGCCCCAGGACCAGGAACCCTTAAGGGGCCAGTCACAGGGCACATGCCCCATGCCAGGCCCTCACCTGTGGGATGTTGACGAGCAGACTGGTGTTGGGGACGTTGGCGACGCGGATGAGGCCCTGCTGGATGATCCTCTGTCCCTGAATTTGCACACTAGGCACGGATGCCCTGGGGGCCAGGAGGAGCGGGGGTGGCCCCGTGCTGGAATGTTGTCTGATGTTGTGGATTTGCTGTCAGGGTAGGGTAGGGTAGGGGACAAGACGATGAGAGGGATGATGGAGAGAGGCACAGGGAAGGGATGGGCCCCACAGACCCCCAACACCAGGGGGTTGGGAGGACCAGGAAGGGTCGTTCTTGTGAGGTGATGGCTGCTTGGGGCTGCTGGATGCGCTCCTGTCCCATAAGTGCACACTCTGCTCACCTGGGCCCCCCTGACGAGCGGGGGCATGACAACCTGTGAGCTCGCCTGTGGCCCCAGCTTCGAGGATGCCTGCTGTCCACCACGGACCAGGGGCGGCGGGATGACACTGCCAGGCATTCGAGTCGAAGTGGTCTGTCAACGACACCAACCCCCAGATCTTTCATGGCTTTAACAAATGAGTTCACTATTTTTGTAAAAGCATATACTTGTTTTAAAAACACAGGGATAGAGATAAAAAGGTAAAATGCATATTTATTCTAAACACGAAAGAACAAGGAACATGGACTCTGACAAGAGCCATGCAAACCCGGGCTCACTCAGGACTCAGAGGCCACGACAGCAAGAGTTCCACTAACCAGGACTAGTGCTGCCTGCCTGTTGGTCTGAGCAGGCGGCTCAGGCCTGTTTGAGAGGAGGTGGGCCCTTGTCCAGATCTCAGTCCTGTGCCAAAGAGCAAGAGCTCTGCCAGTCTTACCCCATGGGCAGAGGAGGTTGTGAGTCATGCTGGGACAAGGCCCTTGCAGGCACCACAACTGCCCTGGGGAAAGTCAGGACGAAGAGACCCTGGTCTGCCTAGCATCTTAAGTCCTCTCTCCAGTCTCATTAGGGGCCCTCCCAGCATCAGCATGATTTGTTTATGATGTCAACGGTAGCCTAATTTGGGCCTAGAGGTTCAGAAATGTGAACATGCTTTATTTTGTGAGCTGTGGCCAGAAAGCCTCACTCCAGTCTAGTTAGAAGGAATGAGCAGCCTTTTGCAAGAACTGGATTGGGGTTGCTCAGGACCCTGATGCAGAGGGAACACTGACCTGAAGCGATGGCTTGCCAGAAGGAATGTTCTGGGTGCCCCGAACTAGCGGGGGAGGGGTGGTCACAACACTCCCAGCAGAGCCTGCAGGCTGCAAGAGAGCAGGACACATGGGAGATGAGAGGGCTGCCAGCCCCAGTCCCCCTACACAAAATGCTGATGGTAGAGGATTGGTTTTCCTTCTCTTCCAAAGGCATTAGGCTCTCAAAGATTCTGCTTTCAAGCCTGCTAAGTCCATCTGTGGCAGGAAATGACATATTCGCAATGGGCAGAGAGATTTTCTAGCAGCCCTCACCCTCCGGGGACTATTAGCATCACTCTTGGTTCAGGTGCCGGCTCTGCTCTCCAAGGAACAGGAAGGCTGGCGGCAGTGGCTAAGGCAAAGGACCTCGGGCTGGACAAAATAATCCCAAACTTGGTGAGAAAATGCTGGGTCCAGGCACTTCGTAAAGTCACATATTTCACTAGAGAAGAGACAGTGACAGACCTGGTTCACTTCACCAAGTCTTAAACAGCTAACAAGGAAATGAGTAACAGGCAGGCCCTGTTCATCAGGAGATTAACAGACGTCAGACTGTGTCTACTTGGTGATTAAAAGTGGGAGCTCAAGCAAACCCCCAAGCTGAACCAGTGAGTGTCCTCCTGTCCTGCTTCCTTAAGGTGACACATGTTTCACACACTCTGTCAGGGCTCGTACTGCCCGAGATGCACTTACTTTCTGGTTTACTGAGACAGTGGTTAGAGTAAAAGGAAGGGTGGTTCATCACCAACCAGAAACCTTCCCAGAATGGGGCACCAAAAAAGCCCAACAAAAGAAACCTGACCTTGCTTTCCATGGTAAGTTGTGTTTAGAAACAGCACAAGGAGCCTGGGGCACGAGGGGAGATAGCAGGAGCCCCAAGACTGGGCCTCTGGGTCCTAGGCAGCTTTGTGGCACACCCCTGAGGCATTCAGAAATCTGTCCACTAAACCATGGCAGCCCCTGCCGGCCAGCACAGCCATCCACAAGGCAGGAGGCCTTTCTGGAAACAGGCTCAGGACAGAGCTCTTAACCCAGAAAAGTGATTCCAGCAGCTTCAGAGATATCTGCTCTCCATTTCCCTGATGCTTTTAGTCTACAGGGAGTGAGTTTTACATACGTAGATCTGGAACATTCTAGACTCAAATGTATTCTGATATACCCTTACTTTGACATGCTTTCAGATAAATCCAAAATGCAAACTTGAGTCTGAAAATTTCCATTTCAGACGTTGGCTCTCATGCTCTTAAGGAAATCTGTCCCCTCACAACCAGCCTTTCTGGCTCCTGGCGCTGAGGTGGGCCAAGTAATGACTGTGCTTCTGACCCTTGAGGAGGGAGCAGATTCGCACACACCTTCTGGGCCGTGGTTTCCTTTTGTATTTGACTCTGCCGCAACTTTTTCAATAAAACGAGTTTTGCTTCTTCCAATCTTAACTCTTCTTTCAGTTGCTTAATCATTCTTTCTCGTTCTTCAGGACTGCTTTTCTGCAAGGGCAAGAGGACGAGGATTGAGAGGGATGGATGGCAGCTGGGGAGCACAGGCCCCACTGGCACCAGCTCTATTTGGGGGTGCCACTGGGCAGGTTCTCACCCAGCATGGGGACAAGGCTCACCATGAGGGCCTCGGTGCTGGTCTCCTTCAAGGTCTCCTTCATCAGCCCATTCACTCGTGGACTCGCAGGCTGCTCACTGTCAGACAGCACGATCACATCAGGTGAGGGGGTTCTCCTCTCGGACTTCATGTCACTGTGGAGCAGGGACAGCAGCTTGTTACCAGGGTGCCCTGACTTTGCCAGACACTCTTCCCCAGGGCCCTGTGCCCACACCCCACGGATGCATGGATTCAGCCACAGACACAGCAAGAAGGTGGGAGTACAACTGCCCTGCCAGGCCTCCACAGCCTCTCTTCTTGGGCCTCCCCACAACCCACCCAGGCTGCCTTCTCTCATTGTACTCACCATACAGAAATCAAACCCACCAGTTTATGGGTGGGCCCCACAACAGCCAGGACTGTTCATGTTCCCTACCTTCATGTCCCCAGGGCTGAGGACAACTGTGTGTCTGACACACCCATTTTGGAAAACACCACAGCTTTCTCTACCATGTGGCTGTATGTTGGATAAAAACGCTTGGCCTGGGATCCTGGGGCCAAGGCTAGGTTGGGGCTCCTGCATGCTGGTGTAATAGAATGTGTGTGCCTCACAAACCAGAAGGTGCCACCTGCCCATGCTGAAAGCCACCTAACGGAGAGCCTGGCCCCACACAAATCACCATCTTTGCTCGACCCAAACTGACAGCCCTCACACCTGGTAAGCCCACCTGCCCCCAGAAGATGGAGGGGCTAATCCACATGTTGTCAGCCTCTGTTGGCACCCAGACATGGGGTGTTACCACCTCATGAGGTGGCCAAGACTGCCTGCTGGATAGTCCTTCCTGGGCCACACGTGGCCTCTTTGTCTTGCCAGTGGCAATGTGGCAGCAGTGGCCACAAGTTTTGAAACTGACTAGAACAAAGAACACATTTTCTCTTGCAAATCTGGGTACTCTCCACCTGCCTGATCTGCTCACAAACTGGTTTCCAGCCACCCCCACCTCCCATGATCTATAGTAGGTGGACTGGTCAGGTGCCAAGGCCACACCTGCCCGTTACCTTCTCGCCCTCTTACCCCAATCCTGCCCACCCACAAGTCCCCTAGGCTGGAGATGCACATCTAGTGCTGCTGACGTTCTGCTATGGGTGGCACTGACTCCACACACAAGGACCAATGGATCCCAGAGAGGGTGCTTTGACCCTGACCAAGTAGGTCCGTTTGCTAAGGACATAATGTAAACTTTCCCTTAAGATCTGGCCTTAGCACTTGAGTTGAAGGAATCAGATCCTTCTGTCAGCAGGAATTCCAGCTGAGGATTAAACGTATCCGCTAGGTGGCACTGTGACCCAGAGAACAAACTCAACTAAGTTAACTGAGAGTATCAGCTCAAAGTTGTCACACTACTTCCACTAGACCCCAGTCAAGCAGACACAGTTATAAAAGGAGAACTGGTGCTTTAATAGCCCACAGAACTGCCTTTTCCACTCTTGGAGTGAGCTGTGTCTTTAAGGAAGGACATTTGCTGACTCCTCTTGGACCCAGGACACCCCCCTCATTGCTGACACACACCCCTTCCCCGCCTCTCCTAATCCTGTCTCCCAGAGCTGCACGGCAGCTGCACTGCAACACTCCTAGCCCTGACCTGATTTAACCAGCACAGCTGCCAGCCGGCTTCTCACAAGAGACCAGGGGAATGGGAAATAAGGTGCCATTTCAAGGTATATAATCCATTCACTGGGGTATCAGCCTGCATTCTCAGGTCCAGAAACTGGCTGTTTATAAAGTGAAGTAACCTAGGACGTCTCACTTGGCCTCACCAAAGACCAATACAATTCGTAAACTACCACTCTTTCAAGTCTGTGTGTCTCCCTGCTGACTGCCCACTCCACCGAAGATTGACTTTCAAGGTGATCTTGGGACTCCAATTCCAGGTTCTCTGGACTCGCGCACAGACACCAAGCAGACGCAAGGCCCCAGCACGGGAGCTACAGCCACTGGTCCCAAGCTAGGTGGGCTCCCAGGTGGCTGCACACAGGCAGAGCAGTCACCCAGGCAGAACCACATCTACAGTTACAGACTGCAGGCGCTTTCTGAGAAAATGTGGCTGAGGGATTTATCACTTTTTATCAGCTCACTGAGGGCATGTACTTCTTCTAAAGGTGAGATGTTTAATAAAACTCAAATTTGCCTGAGGGAAGAGGAGGTTAGGGATCGAGACCATCTGGAGGCTGAAGCTGCCTGAGATGGCCACTCTGACCACAGCACTCCCAGGTCCCATCTTGGCCTGAGACTAATCAATAACTCGTCCAAGAGATGACGTCACCTCCTATCAATGATCACTCAGCATCCCAGCAGCCAGCAGGGAGTGAACTTCCTGTATGCTAATCAGGCCACCAAAAAGTCATGTGACAAAGGCATTTCCCTCCTCGGTCATGTGACCCTTTAACTGTGCCTTCCAATGTGAAAACCATGGCAACAGCCAGTTCTAACCGGTTTGTGACACGCAGCCTTCATTTTGAGAAGTGAGGTAGAGTTCAGGTGCTGTCAGAAAATGGAGGCGCCCAGCTCACCCTGGGGCTGCCGGGCTGCAGGCATTTCCTGTGTGGCGCAGGCCCATAGGGGACTGTTGGCTTGTTACAGGGACCCAGATCACTTCTTCCAAACACAGAGAGGCCACACCAGCCCCTCTACTTTCCAACATGAAAAACTTTCCTAAGCTAAATTTTTAAAGCAAAGGTGCTTCAAGTTGCTCAGTACTTTCCCAGAGAGTTCTTTTAATTCAGCAAAAAGAACACCTCTTTAACACAGGCTCAAAATTATCATGGGCATTCTTTTTTAAAATATTGTTTTAAATTATAAAACCATTTATAGGCCAGGAGAACAAAAGCAAAAGAAATATAGCCCAACGTGCCAGGGGGGCAGTGTTGTGGCCAGATGCACGGCTTCAGCCCACGGCAGCCACCTGGGCACAAAGTTTATTTGGAAGCCACATGATTTCAGGGCAAATCCACTAAGACCATCCTGCCCATCTTAGGAACCTTTATATAAAATACTATGATTAAAAGAGATTTTACATGACCTACGAAAATCCCTGGAAGTAAACCAGGCTGTTAGTGAAAACAGTCCCACCGCCTCCTCCTCCCCATATGCTGGCCCTGGCTAAGCAAACACCCAAGTTCTGTTACCTGCCAGGAACTTCCGTCAAGTTTCCTGGAGGGAAGGCCAGGATTATAAACTTAACTCAAGACAGGACTTCGCGTCCACAGCACCAGGCAACCATCCCAGCTGCTCATCAACCAGTGGTCAGCGCAAGGTTAATATTTAGTGTCCTCCTAGCCTGTGCCAGAGGAAGCAGTCTCATCGACGGAATGCAGCAACTGTGCTCGGGGGCTCTGACCTCTGTTGTTCTCTGCCTGAGGAAGGTAAACTTCATCCACATTCATTCATTCATTCACTCACTCACTCACTCACATTTGCTGAAGACCTACCTAAGAAGCAGGTGCTGTACCAGGCAGTGGGAATAAACCCCTGGATAAAAGGCAGTTCTGTCCTTAGCGTCCACCAGAAGGGATAGACCCAAAACCAGGATGGGGAGGGGCAGGTGGGGGTGCGCCCACAGGTAGGGATGGACTACTATGCACCTTGGCCCAGGAGCAGCTTCCCTGGAGCTCAAAGAAAAACAGCATCTTGCGGCCCCAGACCTGCTCACAGTCTGCATTTTAACAAGATCCCTGAGATTCCTACACATACTAAGGAAGTCAGCGATGGTTGTGAACTATGGCCTAATGAGGCCTCGGGACAACAAATTCCTCCTCAGGGCTGGCCCGGGGAGACAGGCAGAGCCAGCCTCAACCATTCCCTCCCTCTGCCCCTCATTTCTTGGGCCTGGCTGGGTGGCAAGAGGCAGGTGGCTGCTAGCCAGGTTTAAAGGTGGGGTGGGGGGCTTCACTAGACCCAGCTCCAGCCTCACCTGCACCTTCTGCAAACACTCACCTTGACCCCACCAGACCCTCCCCCAAGGGTGTTCCTTCAATTCAAGCCCTCACACCTCTGAGGCCTCTCTGGCCCCCAGCGCCCGTACCCCAGGCTCCTGCCCACAGACACATCCTGCCGTGGGCTCCTCCCATCTCCATGTTCCTCCACATCCCCAGGTTCCCCTCGTGAGCCCCAACTCACCCTTCAAACCATCTGTGCCCTCAGAAAGGTCCATGGCTGGCCCAGCGCCTCTATACCCTGGCCCTGAGAGATGGTCAGAGCTCCCTCAGTGTGCTCATGGGGAGCCCCCAACAGCGAATGCCCCACAGCCTACATGCCTGGGAAAGCCTTCTTAGCCCTGTCCCCTGCTGTCCATCCTGGGAATGGGGAGATCAGAGCAGAATTCTGTGGGTTCTACTTACAGGCAGCACAGGCCTGAGCAGATACCCCCTTGCCAGTGACCAGTTCGCTATCACTCCAGCAAACTCATGCAATGAAGTGCCTTCACCTTCCTGCACAGCACCAGCATGGTGGCCCTGTGCCATGTCAGCCCACCCTCCAGCAGCCTCCCATCCTCCTGCAGCTGTCATCAGGGATTCCCGCACCCCAAGCTGGGGCTGGAGGCCATCACAGGCATAGCAGCCAGGGACCTGCCATCCTACTTGGAGCCTGTCTCCACAAAGTCCAGGCATTGTGGCTCCCAGTGAGGGTGAGGATGTTCGCAGGGTGACCCAACAAGAAAAGGACAAGAGAGAGGGCTCCAGCCCTGACTTGACACCACAGCCCCAGAAAATGGGGTAAGATCTGCACCTCCCCAGAGCCAGAAGTACAGGAATCTCCTCCTAGTGCCATGCTGGCTGAGGTGGGAGAGAAGTCATAGGACCTCCTTCCTCCCAGAGCCTGTGGTTGTGCCTACTAAGTAAGCAACAAGCCTGCAGACTTGGAGTTGTTCCCCCATAAAGCCGCCCAGGTCTCACTTGGATGTGCCTCTTGCAAGAGAAGGAGCCGAGGGCAGGACACTTCCCTCTCTGTGCCTCCTACAACAACATGGACAGAAATCCCTGCCGTGCTGCCCCTTAGCGCTAAGGAGGCTCAGACACTGTAGGAGACCATCAGGGAGGTCCAGGCCCGACATTTCCTGAAACAGTAATGGGCTGCTCGCTGTGAGGCCAGCCTGCA